TGAGTATCCGGGATTCAATGTATTCTCCAGCAAATTACGTGAGAGCTGCCAAATTTTTGGTTGTCCGCCAATCCAACGCCACCATCTCATTCAGAATTTCGTCGGTACTCTCCAACAGCGAACGGGTCACGAGGACAAAAAACAAACTGAATATGTAGGGGAGTTATCGGCGAAAGGTAAACATTTTCTTGTCCTTTATATTTTTAAGTCGCGTCTTCGTTTTTCATAGCTTTTTTCAGGCTTTAAGTTATTATGAGAATTTCATAGTTTTGAAATATTATTTAAAAAATCACAGTCACCGTAACTATTTGCAGCAACCTTATTAACGGCGACAGTGGTAGTATTAGTAGTAGTGACTGTAATACTCATTGTTTAATAATGAATTATTTAGACTTGGACAGTCTGGAAGCCGAGAGGCAACGCATCCTGGCGGAAATAAACAACCTAAAGGCTCAGTCTAGCTCCGTCCAGGACGCCTCACCGATAGACCTAAAAATGTCATCTCCACAATCGGATTCGCGCCCGATCAGTGTATCTTCGGGTAAAATTCATCTCACTTTTAGTATCTTTATATATATATATATATATATATCGATTTGTCAAGATTACGAAAAACTTTCACTTACATTCTCTGAACACTACACGCTGAGTTGCTCGGTCCATCCGCCAGTCAAGGAAATAGTGCTAAACCTTACAGATACTTTCTACTCATTAGTTGCGATCAGAATTGGTGTAACTTCGTCCGGTGTCCACAGTATGCTAATCTTCACGACAAACCCTCTTCGACGGCGCGGTATTAACCGTTATTGTTCTGTAAAAAACATTGGGTGATTTCCAGACCCTTCCGACTTCCAGGCCCAGGCAACGGCACAAATGAAACTGTATAAGGAGCAGCTTTCGCCATATCATACCGTCTAAGATTCGCAACCCATTCATAGCTAAAGGAAGGATTAGTTTGTCGAGGACATTCCCACTTTTGAGTATGCACCGAGGATGCGTCTCGTTCTTCGTAGGGCAAACTGCCATCTTAATCTGACAGAGTTACCCTTATTTCTTGCAGTTCATCGCTGGCAAGCTACCGTTTGCTGTAACTTACAGAATTCCGATCAAATTGTGCCTGAATCTGCCAGTTTCTCCGTTTACCGTCTTCCTTTTCCATCCTCACCACAAGCACAGTAATATTCTTCGCAATTTTCACCTTATGCGTTATCTCAGAACTTCAGTTTATTATTGAAGAGAAAATTTTGTGATAATCACACAATATTTACCACCAAGCAAACTGCTAGCTTGTGGGGGTCAATGAGTAGAAATTGTCTTCAAACTCACCAAGCCTGCGTGTTAGCGGGTTGTTTCAGTACAATTATCATATTTAACGTAACCGGAGAAAAATGCACTTTGAGACGATTGTGCGCTTTTTCTGAAGCTCAACAGCCTATCACTATGTCAGTAGTAAAACTCAATTTTCCTTCACCGTACAATGCATTTTAGGTGAAACCATCATCTTTTCCGACTCCTCTTCTCCTGACTTGGCACCCTCAGAGGAAGCCCAAGAACCCGATCAGACCACTGTTTCAACAAATGCGCCGATGACCTCCACCGCAGTCCCAATCAAAACCATACCAATTGATCTGAAAGACCAGCAGCCACAGGCAGAAGAGCAACCTGCGACTGACGAAAAAGAACAATTGATGGCCGAAGAGGAGAAGATAGAGGAGGCATTAGAAGAAGAAGCGGCAGCGGAGGAAGAAGAGGGCACAACGATACC